GACTTGAAACCACCTTTCCAACCCTTGTTGCTGCTGATGTCATCACCACCGTCCAATTGAATGAGCATAGCTTCAACAATCTTGTCCCAATCATACTCATTCCCTGCCTGACCCAGGATGGCACGATGTTGCGATGAGCTCACACCAGCATTCCTCAGTAGGAAAAAGGCTTGCAAATCAGTCGACAACTTTGTATGACCTTGTGTCAGACTTGTCAGCTTCTCATATTCATTCTCTCGGCGACTGATGTAGTCTTGGATGCTTCGGATGCCTTTCTTCGACCTTTCTCAAAGAAGTAGTCTTCGAAGGTCTGGGTCTTGAGCAATGGAGCAACCTTCTCACAAGCATTCCTCACAACTTTTACCACCAGTTGTACTGCTGCTCGTGGTCCTGTCGTTGTGCTCGGGTCCGATTCACTCAGCTGAAGGAGTTTCTGAGCTGCGATCTCGGGTTTCCTGTGACAGAGTGTCCATGCACGGCCATGCAATGCGTTCTTGAGTTTTGCTGCATAGGACACTTTCTCTTCCTTCATCACAGTTTGAAAGCCCAGCCATACCCGCTCTTCATATTCTTCAGCCAACTTTGGATTACCGTCATAATGCACAACGTTGGACTTCGGGTCAACATACAATGATTGCCCATTTGACTGCATTGTAAAATTTGAAATCGTGCAAAATCAAAAGGTGATACTGCGAGCCAACAAAACTTGCACCAAATTACCTCAGCAACTTCCGAAGTGTCCAGCCTTCACAAAGTACTCGAGAATGGCAATTCCGGTACAATAGTGAGCCAAAAATCACCTCAGACTGCCACCAACCAATGAAGGGCACTGTACGACCAACTCCAAAGGTTCACCACCTGTCCAGCTCCAGGGCGGGGACACCAGAAACAATCCGCAAGCGAAAAGTCAATGGCAGCGCGCCGACCCAGAGCACCTTAGGCTCCGCCTACCAGTGCAAAGCGCGGAATGAGCGCACACACGAACCTTTTGGGGCTCGCGGGAGGCTCAAGGCCTCAGTAAGGGATTCGAGCCAAGGCATCACGGGAAGTGACCTCATGATGTTCCTCTTGGCTGCTGTGTCCTATGTCCATTCGTGAAAGGTCATTCGCATGGTCCATCAACTTTACAATATATATATATACTTATAAGTATATATATATATATATATGTATGTATGCTGTACATATAATGTACATAATATGAGTTGAAAGTATGATTATTATTGTACAGTTTCACCTTAAGTAGACAGTTCTAGTAGACAGTTGGAGTTGAAGCTGAAAGGGGATTTTATCCTTAAAACAGTCTACAGTAGTTTAAAATTGTAGGTTACAACTACTTCTGACGAGTAGTAGAATGGACCTTCATGCAGAAAAGAACAGGCTTCAAAGATTTGACGTCCTTTGACCCCGATTGCAAATGAGTATATTGTGAGGGATGAGTCAGATGAGTGCATCTCAAAGTTGGGACAAGCAAACCAACACGATGTCACCACAAGCAAATGTCCGCAATTGAAGTGTAGTGAAAACCAACTATATAAATATAAACTGTCCGTACGCAAGACTCCTCCTTGTCATTTGCTATATGCAAGACATCCACTTGTTACGTGCCTCTTTCACGAGGGTTTTTATGACTGACCGACATATGAAGTATTCAAAAACAGAAGCTCAGTCCAAGCCTGGTCATATAAACAGAAATCCAGACATTCAACATGGTCAGCAGCACAAACTGTCATCAATCAAGTCAATCCTATCTTGAAAGAAAGATGTTCACAGGGTTGTGACATGCAACTAAGAGCTCAGTGGTCCCGCCAGTTGTGAGTTCCTCGTAAAAGAAACATAGACGAGAAGCAATAGAGCATCAGATTGGTTGGTCACAACCAGCAGGCCTTTTCAAGCCAAAGACAGTAGAGAGGCTAAGTGGTCAATGTATGGCTCAACAAGACCGAGAGGAATAGTAGCCATGGATCCTAAGTTCTTCTTCCAGTTGGGAACCTCCCTTCTCTTGTTCCAAGCTATTCTGTCAAAAGGCAACTATGGATCCTTCTTCACCCCGGATCGAAACTACCTGCCCAGACCACCCCTTGTTCCCCCAACGGACCCGCCTTGCAGCTCTTCTCTGCCTGAGCACTTCAGTCTGACTTTCAGACTGTTTTTGTCCATGCAGTCCACTTGGTCTGACTTTCAAAGTGTGTCTCTTCTCTTTGAGAGGACAAATGCAAGGTGCACGCGCGCACACAAACATACAAACAAACAATCCGGCAAACTGTCTCTGGCCCCCCCTTGTTAAACCAACCGCCTTTGGAGCTGGTCAACAGATCAGGCATCGCCATGTGTTTCCGACTTCGGGTTCCATGGAATGGGCCCAACACACCCGATTTTCTGGCGCTTCATGGACAGTTCATTGGATACTGCCTCTCTTTGTAGGTGTCAGAAACTGGCATGTCTTGGCTTCGTTGGTTTTGTTGTGCCCTCTCATGGAAAGGAGTAAACAAGAAATGAAATCGAGAGGAGAATAGTTCAGAATGATCATCCGAGAATGTGGTTCATCAACTGTGGGTTTCCAAGTCTGCAAATTGATCTGCATGATGTGCTGCAAAACAAGGAGGCCCCAAGGTAGATGTGTAAAAAATAGCCAACTAGCATCATTGCTTCACCGGTCTCTCCATTCGTTGTCGCCAAAAAAGGTTGGCAGGCAAGGTTTGGCTGAATCTACAGCCCAGGCACGGAAGTATGGATAGTTGTGCAAATGCACAAATCTGATCTTGCCATACTTCACCTCGAGAAGAGTTTTGGCACGGCACCTCTGGCCACCTCTGGCTTTGTTCAAAGAGCATCAAACCATTTTTGTCTGTATATAACCCAACACAACAAAACATTGAATGACCTACCAAGTGTACCAGTGTACCATCCGACAAATGATAGGCACTGCACATTGGGCACCTGCGCGTGTTTGAGATGGGGTCAAGACTTCAGGGATCCATTGGCAATAATTCCAGCCTTTGCGGTCTGGAGACTCACAACAAGCTTCTGAGACTTTGTGAAGGGGATATATATATATATATTAGCATGAAGTGGAAATCCGAGCACTTAAAACTTGAGGCCAAGGGGGGGGG